AATGGTTGGAATTATTTTTTCTGGCAAGCGTTTATTAGCGAGTTAGTATTCTACATGATGGGGATGCTAACCCCATGCCCAACCCTGCTCCTTTACCCAGGCTTGGGACCGGCAGTAACTCTAGGAGAGTTACAGGCGGAGTTTTGTGCTTGCATTATATTCCATTATTGTTCCTCGGTTTTTGGCTTTGTTCGCGTGTACTCCATCCTCCTGTTTTCGCCTGTACCATTTCTTGGCACGATCTTGGTATTCGTTCGATATAACGAGGTCGCCAACGAAATAAATCTGGTTACGTTCAACCTTTGCCTTCTGATTTGTTTGGTACGCGTTTCCTTGTAGTGGCGTTCACAGTCAATCTTGACTTCACACCATGCTACAATTGTTTCAAGGATAGACAATGAATTCACTTGACTGATAACGCATAAGAAGACGAAATTAAAAGAGTAGGAGAAGAATGGAGATGTTATTAAGAGATATTAGAAACAGTTACTGTTTATGAAACGATAATAACGGTGGAATTTATGAGACATGCATCTGACAACTTGTTCAAGAGTGAGGTGACGCTTCATAAGTGAGTATGGTTCATCGCTTTTCCTATTAAAGCTATGCACTGAGGCCTAAGAGAGTATTCCAAATGATGTCATTTTTAGATCAAACACGTAGGAGCGTGCCTAGGTTTTCGCCCTTTGATTTGCAGTCCTTCAAGAGTTATTCTGAAGAGTGTGGTGATGACGTCCTGGTAGTATGTACGCGCTGTGGTGACTTAGGGTACTCAATGTGTTGCAAACCATCGTCAGATCACCTTTTATTCTCCTGTAGCTCAGTGGGACTAATCCTAGGTGCTGAAGTCTATCCCGGTAGTATCCATTCTTTACCCCTATCACTCACTTGGTCCCTCGACTTTGTACTTCGTCTAAGAGATTTGTGTCCTTTTTGAAGAGAAGGAGAGCAAAAATATTGTGGGCTTCAAGGTGTACTTTCTAAGAAAAGTTAGGAAATTTTCTGTGATGATTGATCCAAGTTTCCTTCACATAAATTGAAGGGTTGATTTTTTCTAGATTGCTTCCCCCATGTATTTGAGCTAGTATCCGAAATCTGGTTACTCTAGTCCTATATCACGCTGTAAGGAGACAAGTAGGAGCGTTTCCATGAAGAACCTGGATTGTTTGTGTCCTATGGGCTCAAATGTTCATGACATGAAATCTTGACAGGTTAAGTTTCAGGATTGTAGGGAGGATCCTCCACTTTCTGCTCTGTGTGTTTTATCGCATCAGAAACTGCCATGCTTCAAAAGCTCTTTTTGTTCGTGATATCTAGAAATAGACATATTTCTGTGAAGACTGTGATCTTCAGATCCGATTGGGAGCACGTTTTTCTGTTCTCTCCTGAAGTACCCTTTAATCCACTTAAAATGCACTTGACGGTTTATCTCCTCACCTGGTGCTCATCTACAATTTCATCTGTTTCTGGATTTTTCAACAAATGTTTGTTTAAAGTGGGTTGTCCGCTTCTATGGTGACTGGCTGCTGCTGGCTTTGTTTTTATAGAGAATACAACTAGTGAGATCGTGGTTTGTGTTTTATATTCTTGATTTATAATCGAGGTCGACTGACATCAGAACATTTTATTTTATTGTCCAACCCATTCGGATAACCTATTACATATGATGTGATTGGGGAGATAATTCTTCCACCTGTTTCATGCATAAAGTGCGTCAGTTAGGTTTAACGGGTTTCATAATTTCACAGCTAACAAATGAGGGGAACTAATTATCTCCAGTTTGTCTACCAGCAAAAGAAGACGCCGCTTGCATCCTTGAAAGTATTTAAATACTTTAACCTGATAGCAAAACCTGGACTTTTCCCTCATGTTAGATCCAAACTAAGGTTCGGACTGAAGAATAACTGTCTACGTGAGTTAGATACGCGTACTTGCCAGGCTGAAACCAAAACAAATTGATTGGGTAAAATGACGGTTCTGAAATTCATCATAAATTTAAAGGTACATTTTTACCTAAGCAAATATGATCACCCAGCTATCCAACCAACAATTGTTCAATTATTCAGATCTAAATTGCAATTAATAAGGAAGTTGATAAAGGATGCGAAACTAAATATTATTCTATCCTGTCCGCATAGACCATGAAAAGATTCGTTCAAAAGACAATATTTGGTTGCTTTATAACAATTCCAATTCTGGAAGAGTGCTTCAATTCACAATCAAAAATGTACAATTCCAGTCAATACAAGCAACACAGTCAAAAGGAGGTTGCCACCACGACTAAGTATCAAGTAAAACAACATAAATGCAGTTCAGGGAGAAACACGGAAACTTAGTGAAGGCGTACGAAAAACAGAAACTATAATAAAATACAAATATTAACAACTCAAATGGAATCAAAAAGATTAACAATGTACAACTAAAAGAAATCAGTAGGAACAAACCGCAACTGTATACACTGAAGGGATTTTCACACACAAAACATTCAAAATGGATCTTACACTCTATCGGTGAGACACAAACGAGGTTACATCTAACTTTAAGTGGTGAAAAAACGAGAGGATATGTGAGGGAATTTCTAGTTATTGATGATTTTTCACGTCTAATTTTCTTTGATCGAAATCTCGAAACAAACATATACTTTCAATCAATAAATTTATGTCTGCTGCGACCACACGAGTGGTCATTACGAATAACTCGAATACATGGCACACGTATTCTTCAAGTCTCCTCATATGTGTGTGTCACACTGTACACTGTCCAATAAACAACGTGATATGCTTATTTCATGCTCGTTCTTCTTATGTAGGCCTCGAAAGTGATCTCAGGTCATTCGTCAAAATCATAGTACCTCGTCTGTTACTGCCGTTTGTATCCTATGATAAGTCCGTGATATAGTTCCGATATGTAAAATGGTGTGGCTTAATTAGATTTAAATTCACTATATCTTGACCATACCGAAACAAAACATTTTCGTGGTAAGATTTCATTTACTCATGAAGTGTGCTATGGAGGTAAATTCGTCTACCCAAAAAGTTAGGAGAGTACATGCTATATAATCATTATTTACGCAGTTGATTAATTACTGTTCAACTCTAGACGATTATCAACCATAATCCGTAGATAAAATATGGTCGCCTCAATGCTTCTTGAAATTTAAAAAATTTACTGACTGTGTATCACCCGTAAATATACCATTGACTAGTGACTAGAAACGTCACACGGGAAGTCACCAGGTGATAATCACACTTAAATTTGACGCATAAAATATTGCGGACTACTGTTTTTAACCCTCACTTATTGCCGAAAATATACATGATCACTCAGCATTTTAAAACTTGGTTGTACATAGCATTTTTTTTAACTGCGTCGTCTATATATTGTGTTGTCAGTTTTCTTGATCATTTATTAGCTCGTGTCAAATTTCATGATCACTTCGTGTTCAGCGAATATCCTTCTAAGAATTGCAGCTATTGGCTATTTTTCATTAGCCAATATACATTTGATGATGGCCTGCATAGACAGCTCTGCGTAGCTATAAGGTATCTCCGTAGGGAATAAGAACCTGTTGTCAATTTTACCGCAGAAAGTTAAAGGACCAACTGACCTGATTAGACTTCACCATAAATAAGGTGATATATAAGTCTTGTTTCAGCAGACAATCTAAACAAAAACAGAAACTAATTAGATGATGTGGTAAAGCCCATATTACGATTCGGTTCATAGCGCGACATCCAGGTATATTAACACTTCAGTTGTTCCAAAATATTCTAGTTACGTACACAATACTTCATACATAAACCTTCCTATTAAGACGCTATTGACCTTAAAATAACCGAAAAGTCCTCGTTGAAAGCACATGTAAAGTATCAAATATGCTACATATTGAAATACCTAATCGAGTGTGGGGCGACCGCAAGTGTGTTGCGGTTTTCGCACAATGACGTAACAGCTAAAAGTAATTTGATATTTTTTTATGACATAGGAGACCTTATTTCTCAAAGTATCTGCTTCACAAATAAATGTCTGTTGAAATATCCATGAAAGAGCTAATATCCGGTTGTAATCACATGCATTTGCTACAAATTCCTGTTGAACTCCGACTATTTACTATTCTGAAATCTTCATTCACTGTCTATTACGACATGACGACATTCGATTCTACATAGATTTTCAGGAGTACAGAGAGTAGGACCATGAATTTGAGCTAATCAGTGTACAACATAATGCTAGGTACAGAGTCTGACTCCTCCAGTCAGAACTACTGCCACCATGCTCTAGAAGAGTAATATCTTGCTTTAGCTTGCTCTAAAATACACTGAATAGTCTATTCCCTCCTGACATTGTAATTCTCAAAACGGTTTCTAATGCAATCGTCAAGGTTATCCTCAAAGAATCTCCCATCAAAGCCCAAACACCGGCAAGTGATCTAACCCCTTCTGCTCTTACAGCTTCTTAGTTGGAATTCTTCTTCCAAAAATGAAACCGCAACTTCCTCAAGAAATAATATAAGGTTAGGGCTAGGATTCGCTACCGATACTCATAAATCCCCGTTTGTAGACTGATATATCCGAAACCATTCATATTAGGACGTTAATACACGTTATTCCATCATCGTTTTAACTAGTAATTAACTTTTTTGTCCTGAATAATCTGAGAGACTAAAACAAGCGGAATATATCTCTATGATCAAAAGCCTTATCGTTTATTTAAAAGACATATAGTTCGTTATATCTACGTTTGACATACTATCAGAAAGTCATCATCACACCCCTTAAGACAACTCTCGAAAGTCTACAAATCGAAGAGTGAACACCCATATATGCACTCAAGTGAGAACTTGACAAACCCTTATGGATTATCATCTCCATCTTAGACTGTCTATGCCTAGTGCATGTTTTACAATTGACGAAATGTCAGTAACCACTTTGCACACCACACCGTTTTCACTCTTATATATACAGTTCGATTATCTCACGTTGACTACATTACTAATTGGATATTGAACTGACCCCCCCTCACAATTCAAAACTTTTGTTCTGGGCGCCTTCAAGAGCTTTCTAATGTTAGTAGTAGGAAAGTGTTATTGTATAGTTGCACAGTATTATTTTTGCACTTAAAATTATGGATTGTATGTAGGAAGATTGTTTCGCCTTAGTTCTTTTCGAAATAGCTAACGAACACGGCTAGTTGCCTGTAAGATCACCATATATATATCAGAATGTCTGTATACACATTGATTATGTTCTTAGTTATCACTCGTGAAACCTGAATGTAAGTAAAGATGATTGTGACTAGTCAAAAATTTTGAGTTTGATTCACTTGAAGGTATTTTCGTCGTTACTGTATCTGAGTTTTCATAAAGACAAGAAAATCGGACACAATAAAAGTATATAATTAGCAAACAGTAAAAAAATAATAAATGTCTCCATTAGTCAACCTCTGGCGTCTTTTCTTGCGTCCAGCTCCTGGCTCATTCAATTTTACCTTCTATTATGGTTTTATTTCTTTTATTCCAGACGTTCTCACTAGATTCCCTTGATAAGTCTTTATTACTCTTTGTTCTGCTAACTTCATGTTACCGAGTAGGTCCTTTCCTACAGAGATAAATCATATTGGCAAACGGTAGTCCCCAATTGAATTGCTAAGGAATAGTAGGTGACGTAATTTTGTATTTGTAAAATTCACCAAGGAGGAATCGAAAGCAATAACTTAATTATGTATAAACTTGTTTGGTCTGTATCATTATCTCTAAAATAAACTTTCATGAGTACTCAATCAAACGTGTTCAAGTTATCAGACTGGTAGATTTGTTTAGGAAAATATTCTTTTAAATTTCATTTTGAATCTCTCAAATAACCAAATATATATGTAGACCTAGCATAATCTTCATTGAATCAAAAAAGGAGTTGAAAATCAGGTGAATAAAACCAGGATTTGACTGATATTTAACCAAGTCAGTGCACATAAGTGGATGTTGTTATTGGTGACAAGTTTCGTACTTGTTTTGATTCTTTCTGTTTTATCATTCCCGTTGTGGAAGTAAGACACAACTGATCTCTTTGCATATTCCAATCTGCCTCTTTAATAGTCGACTCGATAATATGAAGTAAAAATGAATAATAGAGTTGTGACCAATGAAAGCATATACTGAGAACGATTAAAAAAATAAACTTCGATGTATCTAGGTCAATGTTAATTCAAAGTCTAGTGTAGCATTCTGAAATATATAAATAGCATGAACAAGAAATATAACTTCTAAAAACGTCCTTACCATATGTCCTGATGCAGCCGAGGGTGGGAAGAGTTGGCTCTCCCTCCAAACGCTCTCACATAGCCACTGCCAGGAAAGTTCTACTCACCACCTCGCACCACTGGTGTTGTTTACTAAATTGAGAGGAAGAAAAGAGTATCTAACCGGGTCGGTGGATATGGAGGATTCACCTAGGGCATTTGGAAAACCCTGATTCCAAATCAGTGGTGCACATGGGCTTTAGGGTCCTAAGGAAACAAATAGCGTATGAACCAATTATTGGTCACCGGCTACCATGGGACTGCTTCTTATTACGCTGCCCCAATGCCTAGTGGATTAGACCTTTAGGTCAAAGGCTTGGGGTGTGGCCCCTTAAGAAAACCACCTGCTTTGGTCTGCGCACCCCTTTAGTATCACAGTTCACACAAAAATCAAATGACTTGTGTAGCGCATATGTATTCGGTGCTCCTTCGTACCAATGTGTTCAAGTAAATAATATTCATTGTTTTGGTTATAAACGTGCAGGTGGATGAAAGGAAAGGGGGGGTGCTCATTGCTCTTGGTTGTATCAGTCATATGTAAAAGGTATACGTTTTAGTGCGTTTATCAGAAGACGGCTGGTCGTGGCCGAAAAGAACCGTCCTGTTTACTAACTACTGCTAGTGTATTACTCTTCTAACCCAAATATCTATCTGTCCACAAATGAAGTTACGTTTGGACTAGTTCTTTCTACAAACTGGTGAACGATTTTGAGGAACAGGGTATCACTAGATCATTAGTATTCGATGGTGTGTCTTCAAAGTATCGCTCATGTATTTTTGGACCACCAAGTTAGCGAACCCGAGATTAGACATGTCGTGGTAGGTAAATATTACAATGAGGTTGAAATAGTTGAGATATGCGTTACTTATGTCTAACCACCGTCTACATCAAGTGGCGATGTTGTGTGATGTGGTGGTTCTGAAGAAAGAGGCACTCAAATCGATACAGTACAGTTCGTAGGGTCACTGACAGTTGGGCAGAACCATGTTAATAACCGTAAACTACTTACCTAGTTGAATTCCGCGTGATTATCCTAACAAATGGTTAGAAACTTGGTGATACGGCTTAGTTAGAATGGTTCACAGTGACGTTTTGCTTTAGAATCTGAGTTATGGATCTGCTTTCTATCATTTTTCCTTTTCATATTCCTAATCTTTTCTACTTTACTACTGACACTGTTAGCAATTCTATTACTCAGGGATTTATTTTGAAATAATTTTATCTTTTAAAGATGCTCGTCATTATACTTATTTCATCGAATTGTAATTGCACTATTATTTCTCTCACCCTATTTGATCCATATTTATTCTGATTATGGATCTTACAATTTCACTTAACATATACACAGATTCAAGTTAACATTGTTGTTTATCACAATCCTAAATCCACATGCTTTAAACGACGTACTTAGCCCTTAACCTGGCCATTTTTCGGATTATTAATTTGGATATAGGATAATTATAGAACCTTAAGAGAATTTATCGAAAAGAATATTCTTCGTTCAAATACTAGTCTTTTAATTTTATCTTTGTTTTAATATGGCATGGCTATTCGAACTGATGGGCGTATGTGTCAGATTCTTTGTTGCGTATGGTTGACTGACTTCAAATCATTAAAAAATGTTTCTTCTCTAACCATTCATTATCCTTATTATTTGAAGAAATCTTCGATCGGCAATTGATGTTATCCGGAGAAACTCTGAGAAAAAATAAAGGACCACTAAACTGTTTATTCCTCCTCGTTCCGAACTCTTCAACAGTACGCACCTATAACTTTGTAAGAAATCCAACCAGATAATTGTTGACATTGACTAGTTATTGTGAATTAGTGCATATTTATACATTCTTAACCAATAGGTATGAGTATAAAGTAAGCTAATGATAAGTTCATAGTAATTGTACATTTCAATGGTTTTCTGTTACTTTCTTTGCTTTAGTAATCTTCACCGTTATGTGGTATGAAATCCTTCCAGCGCTTTCAATAGTAACTGGAATAACATTTGCTATCCCACCTTTATTAAGTGTAACCAATTATGCGTTTTTCGGTAGAGTAAGTTTGTACTATATCCAATGATTGCTTGTTTTTTCCCTTGGAATTTCTATTTATCCCATTTAATTTAGTGGTCTCCACCTAATTTATTTGAATTTAAACAAGACTTCTTTCTACATTTACGTGATAAAGATCTTGAAGGACCACTTTTATTCCAAGTAGGTCAATTCAATGTATTCTTAAAAAAATATTTTCAAGGATTCAGAGTTTATCTTCAAGGATTAACGAAATGTTTATTGACTGATAATGTGCAACTTTATGTAGATTTTAGTAAAAAAATAAAATGTTAATTTACTATGTTTATTTTGAATTGGTTTGGATTGTCCCATTGTTGGTATTCTGACTGAAGCTTGTGTGCTTTATTCGAATAACTTCATTTACACATTCGGTGGACAAATCTCAAATAGGAGAAATGTGCGTCTTGGACTCTGCCGCTGACCACATTTTATCCGTTTTTTATCGTCATTACAATACTGGAAAACGAGAATAATATTACAAAGTTCCAATGTTGTAGGCTTGAATCTCTTGGATATTAAAGTATTGATGAGGACAGTTGTAAATTATTGTGGATAATATTCAATAGGATTCTTGTTAGATTTAGAAATGAGTCATGTACCGAATATGAACCACTATTTATTTCTTATGGTTTATATAATCTACAGTGATTATCTCTTGATTAAGAGTTGTAGGGTAAAACGCACGTCCTAGATTCCGCTACTAGCAACAGTTCATCTTCTATAAAAGTTGTGACAAACTGGCTGTATCGAAGTAACCCGCACATATACCGACAAAATTCAGTCCTGCATATCAAAAACAAAATAATTCGAACCTTTACTAATAAAAACATAAGTATTATATCCACTGAACAAGTTAGCAGCTATCTCAGTAGATAAAGCATTGGTCTGAATGCATCTACCCTATGATGACTAATTCTGAGCCATGTCACGTCAATATGTGACCAGTATTAAATATATTTTAAAAACAAAAGATTTTGATAGTTTGCATTTTTGACTGGTGATGATTCGTTTGTTTATTGTATCAAGCATCGTACAACTACCATAATTTTATTCAATTCAATAAAAAAACCGTTGAATTTCATCATGGATGCAACTGCACTACTGTAAACAAATCTTAGTTCGGCAGATTGTAATTAAAAAGTCTATACATTTAGATACGCGTTAGTCAGCAAGTCATCGGATGATGTTATTTGTAAGGTGTATAATTAGCAGAGATATGGTTATGTCATCGCTCAGTTTAAAGCAGTATTAGATATGATTGTCAGATGGACAACTATAATCCATTTATCAGAAGTAATAGTGTATTTTGATTAAAAAATCACGAAGGTGGTCGGTTTTCTACAACCTAATACTAAAACCCTATTGGTTCCTAATGAAACCAATTGTACTACACCATAACAGAAGCACAAATTCACAATTAATCGATTTATATTTATTGTAGACAAAAAATACAGGTTTAAAAATGCTTTCATAAACTTATTCGCGGTTTCTTCGTTTTCTTTTGCTGTGTGGCTTTTTGATTATGTTCTACAGAAATGAAAAAGAAAACAAAAAAGAGAATTGCTTAGTTCTATGTGATGGACTCCATCAACAGGGTGGTTAAGCAGTGGCCGAATGGTAGTGATAATATGGTTATACTTCTCTCCACAGTTTAACAATCAAACACTCTATGGATCACAATTTGAGTATATGTAGAAATGTGTACATTGCTGCTAAATAGTTCTGCAATAAAAGATAGCAGATATTCATCCAATGATCATCAAACTGATGAAATATGAACCCCATCTTCTAAAACAAACAGAGAGTGAATCAAACGCAAATTTACTCATGTAACCTGAATTTACCTAAGTATAAGCTTTTTGGCAATCAGCTTTGAGTTACGCTTTAAGTGCAGTGACTAGTTATGGTGTCTGATGAAATCGCGATAGGAATTCAGAAATCGCGGCAGGTTTCTACCAACTTGGGTCACTTGTGGCGTAGGCGAGATAACTGTCAACCGACCAATGGACGAGTTTACTGTACACTAGTTTGTTTCGTTCTACTTTATGGTTGTGAAACATTGCCTTGGGAGTAGTTAAACGCAGAGTACTAGTTAAGGTCAGAAGGTTGGTCAATTAACGCGTCATTGGTTTGGCACGGTGCTAAGGTCATGTAAGTGGTGTTTTAATTGGTGATTTAGTCACGTAATAGTTAACGGGGCAAAATTCGTAACAGGTAGTGAATTTTTATCGACTAAGATGGCCAGTGTATGTAATACTTATGTCCATCCACCAATTGGTGTAAGAGTAGAATGTGAGAAAACTATGTCAGTCAGTAACAACGTAGAACTTCGTACGTACGTACATCAGTTCGAGTTGCCACACCACATAATGACGGTACACCATGTAGACTAAGTCATTTAGGTAGGTGCAGATTATTTGGTTCGAGTTCATATCATTGTCGTAACCAATAGCTGGAGCTCCTAGGTAACGCACCTCAGAATTGTCTGAAATGGTAAGAGTCCATTCGCCTTTTGCCTTCCTGTAGATCGTAAGTCTTTAGATTTTCCATACATTTGTTTATTTTGATAATTTGTACTTTCGCACCTTCGATGCATAATCTTTTCTATTACAACTACATTTACTACTATGGAATTCGCTCTGACTATATCATCTCGATGTGCCAGTAGCGTGTGGCAACTTAAAGCGATCTACACATATGAATATTCTACGTTGCGTATGACTGACTGAGTCATGATTTACGGTTGCCTAAACTTAAGCAGAGGAATAGGAATTTGAATTAGCTATATATACTAATCAGTCTGATTACATTCGACTGAACCATTCAGAACATACAAAATAGATTACCTTCATTCGGAGATAATTTTCTTTTTTGCAACCGATTAGATGTGTCAGTTCCGTTCTCACTGGAATTATTCATTTCCAAAGGTTGGGATGTTACATCTGGTAGCTTGGATTTCTTTTTTACTGGACCATTCCATGCCATGCCAAGAGCATTACGAGTGGCTTTATGCAAATTACGTCGTTCTCGAATAGCACGAGCGCCTAACGATGCACGACTGCATATAATTTGGATAAGTTGGTGATTTCCACCACCAAGTTCTTGGGTAAGAGCAGATTCAGTTGACTCAATTAATTCAACTAATTGATCAGGTCCTGCCTTTGCCATTCCAGCTGATACAGAGGCAACAAGACTGTTCGCACTCTCTGGTCTAATTGTACCTGACATGAGTGCACGACGGAGGCGAGCCTTTAAAACAAACGAAAAGAAACAAAATATCAACTCATAAATTTATAAAATGGTTAGAAAATAGTCTACATCTGAGAATGACATCGGAAAAAATGAAGCACTAGACAGCCTTCTTGGCCTAGTATGGGGATTCAGTGGTGTTTATCCACAATATCCTGTGAGGGTTGAACCTAAAATCTTCAGACATCGAGTCAAGTGTGTAACTTTTATACTATTGAGTCCCTGTGATTCGGAATTTGCGATGTCGTGTGACAACCATCACCAATGATGCTTATCTCATTCTCAACATGGTTGAACTAGGATTCTGAAAATTCCCCTTTAAGTTGCTCAATTATGTATATTCTAATGGACATCACCCAGTAAACAATACAGAAAATAAAAACCGATCATCCAACCCACCTGTGCTCTTCTTTGTCTTGATTTCGCTCTGACAGTAAGTTCTCTAGAAAGATGCATACCACGTAGTCGCATTCTAGCGCCAATATCTGTTGTATCATCGTTGACAGCTGAAGCTAATGATGAAGCTGCTGTAAAAGCTAACCGTTCACGCTGACGGAATTCTCGACTAATTAATTTCGAAGCAGATCTTAAGTAGGCGAAATAAGCTGGAACTTGTTTTTCAACGGATAGATTTTCAACTGATTGATTATCAGAACCACTTGAAGGTTGAGTATTTAGTGAGAACATATCAAATAATTGCGTTGTATTTGGATGGGGTAGACGTAATAAAAGTCCGGTAGTCAATTTCAACGCCAGTAGCCTCTGCAAAAAAGGAAACGGGAAGGCGTACATGAGATTAGAAAGTTTAAAATTAAGTTAGGTGATAAAACAGAAGTCCTGATGCCATTTTGACTATTAAGCATTATTACATCCACTGGCTTCTCTATATGACAAATGAAAATGTGTAGTGAAAATTTCATATCTCGATAGTTGTAAGAGTATTAATGATGGATTGGGTGTAACTGACGAAATCAATCTACATATTGTAAAAGTCAGATCAGTTTATATTGATCTAGATCGTTTTGGTGCTGTTGTGGTGTTAATTTAGCTGTGAAGGGTTCGGTTTACACAACAGATCCATGAGAACAATCTGACTCCTCTGAAGTGATATTTGGTGGCAACACCATGTTGGTAATAATGAGGTTCAACAATAAGAGTTGGGGCGAAGTGATGAGAATTCAGTTATTGTCGTCATCCTGAAACACTAGGTTCAGTAACCTGGACATCTGTTATGAATCTAACCCAGCATCTTCCACGTAATTTAGTGAACAGGAACACGAGTGAGAACATTCGAATGTATTTGACACGAAATTACAGAGTATCTCACTAAAATCTGAGAACCATATAGTAAATAGCTAATTTGCAAAACATCAGTCCATCGTCTCAAATCTGACTATTCCTTTTGCAAATATCAGTCTCAGATTCCATTGTTCATACCAATTGCGTTCCGTTCCCGTTTTTTCCTTATCGATCTACTCTACTGAAATACATTCTATGTCCGACCACCATTATATACTACTTATGAAGATATAATTAACCTATACCACAGTAGTGCATAACTTTTCGTAGGTGGTACAGAGCGAAATAGGTGGGGTCAGTTTCTGATATTCCACAGCGGTATGAAAGAAGACTGATGACCATCGACCGATCATTACTCTTCAGTTGAGGTTCTAAAGATTATGTAACGCTCATAACTAATACATGATTGATAATAATAGTAATAATTTCTGCATTCAAAACACTATAACAGTCAAAATAAAGGATTTGAAAAGAAGAATAAACCAAACTCAGTCATCATTATAACATACTTGACAATAATATTGTGGTCTATTGTTTAATTCATCCAATGCAATTTTATTAGCAATACGAAATATTTTCAATACTGGTTTACGTCCAACACTTAAATGTAATAATTGTCCAAGATAAATTAAATTCGATAATAACTGAATACAAAAGAGAAATGGAAAAAAGAGGAAATGAATTCAAGATAAAAGAGGGGAAAGAAACTTTTGTTATTTATTATAAATGATCAGTAATTATGAACAAATGAGTCAGTCAGCAACATTGTGGAACTTCGTATGTACGTATATCAGTTGGAGTTGCTATACCACATTAGCACAAAGATACAATTGTCGAATCAAATCCCATAGTGGTAGAGGTAATGTATTGGGAATATGCGACATATATATCGGTGTGATAGGAATTAGTCCAATGTCAATGGGAACAACGATGAACACCCAATAATATTAGAACTTGTGGTGGGCAAAAAAGCAATGTCGAAACACGAGTTTATTTATTTACTTATTTGAACATATAAATATTGGTACAAAGAGACACCAAATACATTTGCGCCACATAAATCATTCTATTTATGTGAAGGCTGCTATACTGCCCGAGATCAGACCACGTGGTTTTCTTAGGGGGCCACACCCCGAGTCTTTGACCTAAAAGTCTAGTTCGCAAGGCAGTGGAGCAACGTCAGGAGATGCAGTTCCATGGTAACCAGTAGGCAATAATTGGGTCATACGCCATTTGTTACCTAAGGATCTTACAGCCCATGTGCACCATTGGTTCGGAATGAGGGTTTGCCAAGTGTCTTAGGTGAATCCTTCATATCCACCAACCTGGTTAAATTGTCGAACATTCACTTTTCGTCCTCTCTATTTCGTAAACAATAGTAATGCCGCGAGAACGTATTGTGTAGGACTTTCCTCGCAGTGATTGTATGCACGTAGCCGTGAGAGAGCATTTGGTGGGTTTGTCAGAATAACACAGTAAAATTGATTGATTCAACAGAGTTGGAAGTAGTTTCTAACTAAGCAAAACCAATATTTACAATTGATGTCAAGATATTTGAAAAAACCCTATCAATTCGTATTATTATTATGAGCCGATGACAACAGCTTTTAATTATGTAATTATTATTCTATATATTTGAGAAGGTTCAGTTAGATTAAGGAATTATGGTGAATGTAATGTTCTGTCTGAGCTGAATGGTTCAATTATGGGAGTTTTATTATTCGCTGAACAATATCATCAGGTTTCAACTTGTTATGGTAAAATAATAAAAAAAACGACTTAACTGACGCTTAACGTTTTTAGAATGTAAAGAGGTAATTTTCAAGGGAACATTCGGATTAGAACTTTACAGTCCGTGTTTAATTTGACTCATCTGTCAAGACAGTTTTATCATATGGGGCGGAAACTTGGAGAACTACGGAAATCATCATCGACAATAGATAAGTGTTTATTAAGACTTAACTACGCAAAATACTTCGGATCCATTGGCCAGACACTAACAGCATCAACCCACTGTAGGAAAGAATAAACTAGATTGTAACGGAGGAATAAATCAGGAAGAAGTGCTGGAAGTGGGTACGACACATTGAGGAAAGCACCCAACTGCGTCACAAGGCAAGTCCTCGCTTGGACTCCTCAACGTCAAAGGAGAAGAGGAAGACCAAAGAACACATTACGCCGAGAAATGGAGACAAACATGAGAAGAATAAGCAACAATTGGATAGAACTAAAAAGGAAGACCCGGGACAGAGTGGGTTGAAGAATGCTGGTCAACGGCCTATGCTCCTCCATTGGGACTAACAGGCATAAGTAAGTATCTGTTAAATGTAATGGGGGTAATATTTTCCATTTCATAATGAATCCATTTAAAGTAAACAAACAAGCATAAATGATGAAAAAATCTTACCGCATTTGACCATTCTTCTGAAATAGGTACACGTGCATCAACTTCCAATTGAAATAATAAATCGTTAAGTATTCTTTGTAACTAAATTTTTTTTAAAGAGAAAAATTGGCAAAATGAAAGCAACACAAGAAATGAAGAAAAACAAATCTTGATGATGCTTGGTCGTATGTTGAGATCCATTTGAATGAAGAACATGATAAGATTAGATGTATGTTACTAGGTAAAAATGATGAATCAGTTGATGAGGGTGTAATAGTTGATATATGTATTACTTATACCTTAAACACATAATACTGACCGGTGTGTATGAAGAAAGTTGATGGGAAATATTAACTTAAGATGTAATATTAATACATGAAGTTATTGAACTAGAATCGTTCACAGTTAAGCAGATATACTCACTCTTTATTGCTTAGCATATAATTCATTCACTGATAACTATTCATTAGAATGTCTTTAGTGAACAAAACTAATTTTATACAGTTAGGAATTAAGTATTAGCATCAGAAGAGGTTTTATGAATATTATAGTAAGTTTAATAGTTAAGATCATGAGTTAATTGAAGCTAGACCACCACGGAAAATTTGAAAGTGTTGGATGGCTGTTTCGTCCTGGTGTGGGACTCCTCCTTGGTAGTGCGCATCCACGAACCTGCCTCACGAGATTCGAACCCAGGACATATCGATCTGTTGAAAAAAGTGGACAAACAATATCCTACTACTACACGTTTAGTGTTAAATAGAAGTCAGGTAGTATTGACAAGAAACCATACACAATATCTGTAATCATGAAGAAAGCAATGTTCTTTGTTGCATTTGAACTTATAATGATCAGTGCGACAGTCAGAGACGTCAAGTTATTGGTTATAAAAAGAAATTTTCATCAATAAAGTTTATCCGAGACATTAAGAATAGATAACACGAAAGTGGTTACTATGAAGTGACAGGACCTGCTACCTTAACACGATCAAAGTTATCTGTTATGATGATCCGATTTTTCACCACCTATAATAAGCCAGTATTTTCATAGGCTTTTTAGCAATACACATAGATAAGCTGTTATAACTTGTTGGCCTGTGTGCCCTGATAATGTACAACGTAACGATACCGCCAATTAGAGAGCAGTGACTTATCGATCGGACCAATGACGCGTAAAACCCGTACGAGCAGTCTAGAGTCCTGATTGATCCTGCTTTCCGCCTAACCCAGCCAGTTAAATCCAGAATACCAATCTCAGCCTCTGCAATATCGAATCATTTATTTCAAGCATATTGGGTTTAGATACCAAGCAGACAGACCATACCGTACCATAAAATATGAAACAACATTACTACTCCACTACCTTGTGAATTAGATCTTTGTTTGTTTCAACACATAAATATTGGTACAAGAGGGCACCAAATATATATGCACCACGCTTTTGTGTGAGGGCTGTGATACTGCCCGGGTGCCCAGACCAAAGCGAGTGGTTTTCTTAGAGGACCACACCCCGAGCCTTTGACCTAAAGGTCTAGCCCACAAGGCAGTGGAGCATCGTGAGAAGATGCAGTCTCATGGTAGCCGGTGACCAAGGAATTGGTTCATACACCATTTGTTCCCACAGGATACTGGAGCCCATGTGCATCATTGGTTTGGGATCCGGTTAAAGCGCTGGACATTCGCTTTTCGTTCTCTCATTTTCATAAACAATACCCCCGCCACGAGAAGGCAGTGAGTAGGACTTCCCTGACAGAGACAGTATACACGTGGCCATGTGAGAGCATTTCGAAAGGGAAGGCTGGCCCACGCCATTCTCGGCTATACCAGGGCATTTGGGGGCGAATTATACTTTTATATCAAAGGTTCCGGGTGTAGCCCCTTCCCCCTAAGAAAACCTACCTGGCCCCACCCTGCTAGTATCTATGTTTATATGTTTAAATAAAATAAAATATTACTTATAATGAATAAATGAACTTACTACTTTATTGAAATTTGTTTTATTTTTTTGTAATTTTTTAAATATAGCTGATCGAACATTGAAACCAGATAATTCAGTATCTATATTATTATTCTCATTTATTGGTTTTATAAGACGATCTTGATTTGTACTGATTTCTAATTTTAATAATAAATTTAAACAACGTGTTGCCCATTCACGTGTTTCACGATGACCTACAATTAATAAACTCATTTTTTTAGTTTTATTTTCTATATTCTTTGTTGTTGTGGTGGTGCTGGTGGTGGCGGTTGTTGTTGTTGTTTCCATAGAGAATAATGTACTATATTGTTCACGACGTTTATTCAATTTCTTACGATGTTTCTTGGATTGAAATTCAGTGATTGGACATAATTGATTATTATTATTATCATTATATTTAGGTCCATTTAATAGAATACGCCAAAATGGGGATAATTTAATTGATGATATATATGTATTGATATTGTTATCTGATGTATTCGGTGAATTTATTGTTGTTGATTCAGTGATTAACTGATAAACCAATTTTAAAGCATGTTCTAATGTATGCGCAACTAAGAAATATTGATTATCAATAGCCTTTGTATAAAAAAAAGAGAAGAGAAGATAAGATAGAAGAGATAAGCATTTAATAAAGAGTAATAATAAATAATACTATTTTTTTAATAGTATAATTGGGCTATCCACGAGAGGATAGCAACCGGTGATTAGAGACCTTGAATGATATGACATAAAATCGTTTGCAATGACATAGGTGCATCCACTCTTTGAATAACATCTTCAAACTTAAGTTTATACTTTTATTACTTCTATCACTATGGGATTTGAATCGACAATTGTATCTGTATGCTAATGTGGTATGGCAATTCGAACTGATGTACGTGTATGTACGAAGTTCTATGTGGTTAATTGACTGACTGATAATTGAACTTTGGTCAGTAGTGAAAGTCAAGACGTAAATTTCATCTTATTTGAGATGTGTCAACGAGATGTATCTGATTAGACTGAATTATTTCTATCATTAGTTCTTTTGTTTGAGTAGTATCGTTTTTAAACAATAAATTAGATGTAGTCTCTTAATGATAAAAATGTTCAGTTGATTGCTTTAACCATAAGCCCCTAAATTTATTATTTATTTTATTTAAACACATAAACATTGGTACAAGGTGATACCAAATAGATATGCGCCACAAATAATTCGATTTGTGTGAGGGCTGGGATACTGTCCGGGTCCCCATACCGAAGCAAGTGGTTTCCTTAGGGGGCCACACCACGAGCCTTCGACCTGAGGGTCTGACCCCCAAGGCAGTGGAACATCGTGAGGAGATGCATTCCCATGGTAATCGGTGACCAACGATTGGTTCATACGCCATTTGTTCCTGCAGGATACTGGAGCCCATGCGCACCATTGGTTTGGAATCCGGTTAAAGCGCCGAACATTCGCTTTTCGTCCTCTCAATTTCACAAACAACACCCCTGCCACGAGAAGGCGGTGAGTAAGACTTCCCCCAAATGGTACGGCCGAAAGCGGGGAGAGTCCGCTTTCCCTCTCCAAATGCTCACACATGGCCATACGTATACAGCTACTGACAGGTAAGTTCTATTCACTGCCTTCTCGCCTTTGCGGTATTGTTTACGAAATTGAGAGGACCGAAAAGCGAATGTTCGGTGCTTTAATGGTGTTAGTGGATATAAAACATCAACCTAGTGGGGTTGGGAAAGCCTCATTCCAAACCAATCGTGTATATGTGCTCCCGTATCCTAAAGCAACAAATAGTGTATGAACCAATCGTTGGTTACCGGCTACCATGGGACTGCATCTAACGTTGCTCCATTACCTTGTGGATCAGATCTTTAGGTCGAAGGCTCCAGGTGTGGCTTCCTAAGGAAACCAAGTAGTTCGGTTTGGGCGCCTGGACAGTATCAAGGCTGACACGCAACTCAAGTGACTTGTGTGGCGCATATATATTCAATGCCCGTTTGTACAAATACTTGTATTTAAATAAATGAATTTAACCATAAAATCACTGTGATACAATTAGTTAGTGACACACACTTATACAGATCTCTATTTCGCTTGAATATATTTGCAAACATTATCCTCTAAAACAAAAATATAGTTCTGGAGATAATAAATTCAGTACATCATCATCAGATTGATTAACCTTTCGTTTAATTCAAAACTAACAATGTTGTTCAATACTGATAGATTAAATCCAAACAACTGGATACTGGTTTTCGGAATGTAAGATCCAACATACTATATGATTATGTCAAATGCATTACTCAGCAGTTATGTGATCATTTTGAATGCGTTGTATATTATATCTTAATAATTTCCCTATCTACTCGATCCTATTTCATTATTCTGTTGATCGATAAATATTTGAGACGGGCTGATTAAGCGACATGTTGGACGAACCAATCGGATTCAGGATGACAGGTCTCAGATTTTAGCGCGGAATTCTTTCACCCGATTGTCTAACTAGCGTCCTGGCATTTTATCTTATGTCAGTTCGTGATGGAAATCATAAATATGATTCCCAACCCTAACCATCAACTGTAAATCATAATCCTTACTATTCATACTGCTTTATAACTATCATTTAGCAAAGTAAGTAGGTGGACATTCCCAAGGTTATTTTAGTGTCCCTCAAAAGTCATCCATAAATTACAGTCTCACCCACAACAACAACCAAATTGTCTTCTTCTGGTGATAATAACATGATATAGATTGTTCCGCATAAACGGTCGTTGTAACACGCTGATTAGATCATTCTCATACCCAATCAGAACAAGCGGATAAATGGAGAAGAATCTCATATCTTTCTATGAAATAACTTCCCCATCATAAGTTATGTACTAATTTGAGAATTATTTGAATGAAGTATAGTGTCTGAAGAATACTAAACAAAAGAATTAACCAAGTCAAATGAACAAGATTTAACAGATGGCAATCTAATACTGATATTGTCTCAATTCAATTATGTTCATTTAATCCTATTGTATTTGGATTCTGTTTAACACTGTTGTAAATTTCACTTAGTTTAATTGTTTAAATATACATCCAAGAACATTTGCATTCGTATTCTGAATTAATCTAGTCGTCTTTGATTATGGAGTGAAAAAGTACAACAGATAAAGAAAATTTAAGTCTTTTCTATGTAGAACCGGATTGAAATTCCATTCCAGTCTTGAATAGTTTAACCGTGAGCAATCACAATCATACATGATATCGAATCTATACGGTTTGTGGATCTTGTTGCAAGCATGATACCTATAGCCCTCAAATAATGAATTAAGACCTAATAATCGAGATTTCCAATTTCAGTTGAATTAGAATGGATAGTGAACCTAGTGGTTAATAGCACCAAGCTCCCGTAATTTAACCCGTATACTCACGTTAATATTGAATTCCTTACTAAGTGATAAATTGGATGATTTTTCAATGTACATGTCTATTACTCGCACGTTTTAGTGTAAGCAATTTTTGGACATTATTGCATTTCATAGTGTACGTCTCAAACTTAAAGTCATGAAACATTGAACAGCTTTGCCATTTTAGTATGAGACTCTTCAGGAATATGACACAAGATTAAGAGGCTCTAAAAAAATTATTAATGTGGGCGAGACTATCATTTATGAACAAACTAATGACGTTTAAGATAACAGGTCTCATATTTTGGCGCAAAAATTCACTCAACCATTTGGATAAATAGAATTTTGTCATTATAGCTGATATCAGTTCCTGATGGAAACTCTAAATGTAATTCCTAACTATAAATCATAATTCTGATTCCTCACACTGGTTTATAACTCTCACTTAGTCCTAGTTATTAGGTCAATACTCTTAAGGTCACTTTAGCATCGCTCAAAGGTCATCCATAAATTATAGTCTCACTTTAATGTGTATTGTTAAAGAACTACACATATAGAGATGAAACATTTGTTCAGTCTTTAATAATTTCAGATGAGTTTTGTGGTTATTATAGTAATTTCAATGGTTAAGATCATGAGTCAGTTGAAGCTTGACCACCATAGAAATCCTGGAGGCACTGGACGGCTGTTTCGTCCTGTCATGAGACTCCTCAGCAGTGCCCATCCACGACCTCGCCCCCTGCGAAATTCGAACCCAGGATCTACTGGTTTAACTAAGATCAATTTGCCATATAAATAGTAAATTACTCACTTCAATGAAATGACAATCAATAAGATGAAGAGTTACTTTGAAATACTTACCGATTTTGAACATTTAAGTTCTTTGTTAGATGATGTTGAATGAGATTGTATAGTATCATTAGAATGTTTATTATTTTCAATATTTTCATTATTAAATGTAGCAGAAGTAAATGGATCAACATTTGTATCTTCATCATAATCTAAATCTACATTGTCAACTTCATCATCATCATCACTGAAATCTATATCTTCTTCTTCTTCATCATTATCTTTTGACAATTTCGAAGCGTCGTCATCATCACCATCATCATCATTATCATCGTCTGAATAAGCATTTTTAGGCAATTCTATTTCATTCATCCATTTAGTATCTTCTTTTATAATTTTTAATAAATTACATTCTTCTTTTGGTGTTATCATAGATTTTTTATTATATAATTCATTTAAACCAGTTGATATCATTAATATTGTATTAGATTGTATGAATTGATTTAATTGAATGATACCACATGGTAATATATTATTACTAATAATATGAATTAATTGATTACGATATTGTTTAATCACTATAACTAATTGACTATTATATAATGATAGAAGAATTTGTAAACTAAGTAAACGTGCTGAACATCTTGTGATTGGTGGAGCTAATAAAAATCCTATTATGTAATCATTAATATAATTATGTACTAAATTTAATGGTAATTTATTAAATAATAAATTTAAAAAATTTAATAAAATTTGTCGAATTTTCCTTGATGTTTCACGTTCAATTGCTGTGCTTATATTTAAAAAAATTATTTCATCTAAATAATCATTTTGTTTACCAATAAAACGTATTATTGGTAATTGATCAATTAATTGATATAATAATTGAATTGCTGTTAATTGTCCAAATGATTTTTTATATTCTAATTGTTTTATATAAAATTGTATAAAATATTTTAAAAATTTTAATTGATGTGGATAATTTAATAAAAATGTTATTAAACAATTACATGATTCATTACGTATTTGTTCCGATGATGATGTAATAGATAATAATTGTAATCGATAAAATAAATTTAATAAACGTTCACCACCACCACTACCAATTTTTAGATCATAATTATGATCTGATAATTTAGCTATAATTAATCCTTCATTATGAATTAAAAATTTTGGATCTTTTATAAAATCTATTTCATTTATTTGAATCATTGGATCATATAAACGACGTTTTAATATTGCATTCAATAATATTAATGATGAATTCATTGATTCATTATAATTATGATTTAATTCAATATCAACAATATTTAATAATGTTAATAATTGTATTTTATTTAATGGATAATTACATTGATGATTAACTAATAAAGCTAATGTACAATATAAATTTCGAGTAAAATTTTGTGCATAGCAACTAATTGATTCAATTTTATTAGACAATAAATATGATTGATTAGTTAATAAATTAAATAATTGATTACCAATAATATGAATATATTCAGAAAATTTTGGTAATTGATTAATTATTAATTTAGATGATGTAATCAATAAAAATAATCGTATACATTTAATAGTAATATTTAATACTTGAATATATTTCGATTGTAAACATTGAATAATTGATGGTAAAAATTCATTTAATAATTGTAAATGTTCTAATTGATCTTGTTTTAACCATTGATAACGTATTAAACCAATAAATAAAGATAAACCACAACATACTAATAAATAAGATTGTTTTAAATTAGATTGTGTAATTAATGAATGATATTCACGTTTTGGTTCATTATCTAATTCTAAATAATTCCAACGTGATTCTAATAATTTCAATTGAGGTTGATACCAACCAATAATTATGTTATTATGCTGATGTGGATTATGATGATGATCGATTATTGTTGTATTATTTGTTTCATTAAAATCTAAATTAGTGATTGTAATCTCTTCAAGATTATCATGAACTAATTGTTGAAATAATTCAATAATAAGATTTATATTAGATTGAATATATTTATTAGAAAATAATCCAGTTTTCATTGGAAGACGTGTTAAGGTACATTCAAGTCTAGCTAATGCTTTATGTCGAAATCGTATACCACAACCGACTGAATCATTTGATGATGATGATTTATTATTATTATTATTCAATATGGATCCAAGTGCAGTACCGGATGCAGCACAATGAAGTGCCATTTTAATATCTGTAAATAAATGAATAATACCTTCATTTGATAATAATCTACATAAACGTGTAACACCTTCTGGAGATTTGAATCCATTTCCTTCAGGTAAATCCATAGGAATAGATCCACTTAATTCATTATTATTTGTATTCGATAATTTAGCTGAACGTCTTGAATCAATTTCTTCAGCTAATCGTCCAATCATTTCATCTAAATAAAGTCGACTCATAATACGACCAATATAATCTAATTGACCAGATTTATAGGATACTTCACCGGATATGATAGCTTGTTCTACTTCACTGAATACACGATGTAATGTATATAATCTTACTTGCCAATATGTATAACCACCACGATCTAATTGTTGATGAACAATATCAAATAATTTATCTAAACCTTTACTTGGACCTAATAATCGTCCAATACGTGATAATGATTTGATTGCTTCAAAACGTATTTCATAATGTATATCACGTGATGGTCTTAAAATATCCATAATACGTAAAATAAGATGAGGTAAACGTGATTCAAGATATCCTGATGGTAAACGTCTTAGCAACATCACTAATGATATAACTAATGAGATTTTCAATGGTTGATTATGACTATTATTTTTATCCTTTTTTTGATTATTATTATTCATTAATTCAGTAGTATTATTAGTTTTTATTGGTTTAATGATAAATGGTTCTAATCGTTTAATCACATTAAGCATATAATTAAGAATTATTGCATTTTCTCCTTGTTCAGTAGAAACTTTTTGTTTTATTTTTAAATGATCATGAATATCTTGTTTCTTTTCTTTGATTTCTTCATCATCCACATGTTCTCTATCGTCGTCGTCGTCGTCGTTATCATCATCATCATTATTAATATCTATTGAAGTATTCCAATTTGGTGGTTGAAATGCATCAATTAAACGTATCATAATTTGTGATATTAAATGAATATTTATACATGAATTTAATCGATGAATTATTGATTCTATTAAAAATCGATAATATTTCCAATCAAAATGTTTTGCTATACCTTCTATAGCATCTAAACAATAATCAATTAATTTTTTATGATTATCTGATAAATTATTATTATTATTATTATCAATAGATGAATTTAATTCTGATTCTAAATAAAACCATATAATTGGTAAAAAGATATTACGTAAATCTTTTTGTGATATTGGGAAATTGTTACTGTTACCCTTTTTGTTATTATTAGTTGCTAAGTAATTATTATTCAATTGACGACGTGATATAATTGTTAATGGATTATGTAAAAATAATGCTAAACGACGTATTGCACAACATTGACGTAATAATGTACCACTTTGTAAATTAATATAAAAATCATTATTCATTGAATAATTATCTAATAATAATGCTAATGAATAAAATCTTTTCCTTAATTGATATGTACGTATAATACAATTTAATAAACGTAATAAATGTAAACGTTTTATACTACTTAATATATTTATATCTTGTAAATATTTCATTAAATTTAACCATAAACATTGAATAATTAATTTATGATAATATTGATCTGTATCTATGGTAACATTTGGATTAAGATTTTGTTTCATTATTAATCTAGATTGAATACATTCAATACAATATATTGTATAATCTAATGCAATATCACGTAAATGTAATTCATCATGACTTATTGTATAAATAGCACAATTTAAACCAGCTTGATGTAAATATAATAATTGTTCTGGTGGATTATTCATTTTTATTAATATACATAATTCAATAAGTAAATTATAACCATTAGCACGTTGATGAATATCTGGTTGATCAATATGTGTAACATCCCATGAATTTAACTACAAAAAAAAATTAAGGATAGATATATACATATATGCAATTAATAATGATTAGTTAATACAAATCGGAGATAAAAACAACAACAACAACAACCGGATTTTGTATACTCCCCCACCTAAATGCCTTCGTACGGTTGAGGATGAGAAGGATCAACTCTCCCTCTCGAAATGCTCTCTCACATGGTCACGTGGCCAACTCACTTCCTTTTCGTGTTGCAGGTGTTATTTACGGATAGACCACTGAAGGAAGTTACAATACCCTCATTCCAAACTAATCGTGTATATGGGCTCCCATATGCTGAGGGAACAAATGGCGTATGAATCAATAATTGCTCACTTGCTACCATGGAACTGCATCTCAATACGTTGCTTCACTGCCTTGTGGATCAGACCCTTAGATCGAAGGCTCCGGGCATGGCCCCCTAAGAAAACCACGTGGTTCGGTTTGGGCAGACGGACAGTATCCCAGCCCTTACATAAGTCGAATAATTTATGTGACACATATCTATTTGGTACCATCTTGTACCAGTTTATATGTTTAAATAAATAAATAATACATACATACATTATTAACAGCTTACCATTAATAGTACATTTTGAGTTAGATTATTAATTGCATCAGTTGATTGATTATGATCTGATAAATATTTCTTGAAATATCTTAAATTATTATTAACTTGATCAGTTTCTTCTTTAATATCCTCTTTAGTATTCTTATTTAACTTATCAATCATTTCAATTAGATTCATTGGCCAATTAGTTAAACGTGATGTACAAGCACCGACTACTTGACATAGGAGACTACGAGCAATACGTGATTTAGAACAAACAAATAAATCCAATATTTTTCTGTAAAAGAAAAAAAGAAACAAACATGCGTATATATTGTTATATCCAGACAAAGAATAAATGGATGGTAGCTGTTGCTAGGAATTATTTACGGACCACATTATTACATATATCCCTATTGGATGACGGATACAGAAGGCTGGACTAACTTTTGCCAACTTGCGTCATTTATGGCGTAGGCAAGATATCCGTCTATCAACCAAAGGACGTGTTTACTGAGCAGCAGTTCGTTCCGTCCTACTTTATAACAGGTAAACATGACCGGTAAAAGTAAAGGATATCCGTAGGTTACTAGTATTCGATCATAGGTGTCTTCGAAGCATTGCTCGTATAACTCGGGACCATCGAGTAAGTAACGCAGTTGTTAGGAAACGTGTACTAGGTAAGCATGGCAAATCAATTGATGAAGTGGTGAAAATTCATCAGTTAAGATGGCTGGAACACGTGTTACGTATGCCCAACCACCGACTGCCTCGACGTGCGATGCTCAATGGTGTAAGTGTAGGTTGGAAGAAAGCTAGGTTCAAAATCGTTTGCAATGGCGCAGGTGCATACACTCTTTGTGTTCTCCCAAATTTCGATCTCCTGATTCCTCCTTGTTTTTTTTTCTTCCCAAATTTATTTCACTTTATTATACTCATTAAGTAACATCTCCAAACCCTAATGTTTCCGATTACTGCTTATACTCTTATTACCTCGACCATCACGGGAACTGAATCGACAACTACATCTCTGTGCTAATGTGGTGTGGCAACTCGAACTGATGTAAGTACGTACGAAGTTTTACGTTGTTACTGGCTGACTGATAGGATAACTATCCATTAACTTTATTATATGTATATTCATATTTCTTTTATTATAAATTTTGATTTGACCTGTTGACGACTATTATACGATTTACTATTCTTAAGTTATTTCCAATTTATTAGTAACAATTTCTCATAATCACAGTCACTTTTGGCTTGATCTTGTATAATTATTATCTTCTGTTTTACAATGTGATACGGTCTGATCTGCTTATATATATAAACAGCGTATGTTCGAAATACATGATTCACATGGTGGAAGCTAAGATTGTGTTCTGGACTGAAGCGTACAAGGCTGGACGAGAAGAACATATACAGATTCAAATTTGACTCTAGGCTGTTATGCATGTGTATACATTCTTATTTCTTTATGAAGGTGAACCGAGTATATTGTTATATTCGGCCAGTCAGCTAAAACGTAGGACCAGGCACATATATGCATCGGTTGAAGTTGCCGCACTTCATTAGCATAACAAGATGAACGTGAAATTCATGGAAGTAGTTACTCCAATGTTAATAATATATATAAAAGACCAGTGCAGTTCAACCATATCAAATACTCGACAGTTATTGACTCCAGACAATGGGAGATGGTTGCATAATATTTTGAATTCATTGTAGTTATAGAAATATACCAATGGATATTGGCTCAATGATCGACGTTTCAAGTTTCCGAACGAGATGGAGTTCCTGGATTTAGTTCTTATACTAGGAAGAAACGACCGTATAGTGCTTCCAGTTTTTCAGTGGTACTTTAGCTAAGGTCCGTTCGCGATTTCAAAACTATGAAACTCAGAAATTTGTTTTTAAAAAATGATTACTGCTTAAACTTACTTTAAGTATTCAGTGATATTTGTTGTAATCTGTACAAGATGAAGAATAGATTGTATAAGTTCTGCTTCAACCACTTCACCTGTAGCCATCTGTAAATCATAACGTGTAGCTGATTCATCTGAATTCACTAAGAGATTATTAGCAACACGATGTTTAAATGATGCTGATTTAGTGGTCAAGGTGGTATTACGCAATGAACGAATTGATGAACGTTGAAGTAATTGTAATAATGCTTGAAGTAATCGTTCACTATCAACTGGTGTCAAACAATTTATATTGTTATGCTGATTCATAACTCCATGATTATTATTATTATTATTATTATTATTACTAATTGAATGACAAGGTAATTGAGCTAAATAACTGACTAATTGAAATTCACGTTGTAAACGTAAACCTGATTGTGGTTTTTTGCCAAGATTTGCAAAAAATGTTGATTTCACTTGACATAATTCTTGTAAACGTTTATTTAAATAATTGACTAATTCCGAATGGAACGATTGTAATAATACACGACCTGTAGTGGATACATCTGTTAAGAAAAGGATATATTTATATATACATATGTGAAAGAAGGAAACAATACACTTTTCATCATATTCACAACAAACAACCTAATGTTAAGTGATTGGAATCGATTAATAAGAAATCCTAAATTGTAGGCTTCATGCTTATTGGGATCTGTCAGTGAGATGTAATATCTGAAATCTCTGGAGAAATGGCAGTTCACACATGAGATGATTTGGCAGTTGGAGCTTTCAAGCTTCAGTATGTTTTATCAAAAGCGAATATACAAGTTTGTAATTGATAAGTAAATTGCTTTAATCCTATTTCATGGTAATGATCATAAGTGGACAAGATGTACACATATGCCGACGAAAACTGATTAAAGATATTCACAGAATAGTACGAATCATTTCAAAGTGAATCACAACTTATACCCGTTGTAAAAGTGAGTGGGAATGTGGACTTGGTATTTTGAATGAATAATGAGTTTGATATTTAAAGTGAACAATACTAGGTCCGAGTCCTGGAGAGAACATAAAATTTAGGATGCAGCTAAATTCAGCTGATGAGTTAGAAGAAAATAGAACGAAATACACATCTAAGATTCCACTAATAACTACATTCCATTTACTCTATATAAATATAACAATGAGTTAACTTGTAGTCGAAGCATCAAAGTGTACACGAACATAGACTGATGAAATTAACTTGTGTATGTCGTCAAGAAGGAGAAAATACAATACTCTAAAAAGATGCATTCATTAGATATTGTTATATCCTAGCAGATTAACTTACGGATAACCTCTGAGAACTATTAATGGAGTAATTTTATATATATAGGCGAAACTATAATTTGTGGATAAACCAATCACGTATACGATAACAGGTCTTGAATTTTGGCGCGAAATTCACTCATCCATTTGGATAAATAGAGTTTTGACATTATAGCTGATATCGGTTCATGATGGAAACCCTATATCTGATTCTTAACTTGAATAATCAAATGTCAATCATAATTTGAATTCTTCACACAGGCTTATAGCCTCCATTTGGTTTTCGTTATTAGGTGTATACACTCAAGGTTAATCTAGGGTTGCTGAAAGGTCGTCCATAAATTATAGTCTCACTGTAATTAAATTGTGTATATCCATATTCCTCTTATTATAAGCTTCATTTTAACCTATAGATTATTATTATTATTATTATTATTATTATTATTATTATTATTATTATTATTATTATTATTATTATTATAATACAATTTACTGTTCTTAAGTTATGCTCAGTTTATTGATTGCAGTCTCCCACGTTTATAGCCACGTTTTGACTTATTTATATATTTGAACACATAAATATTAGTACAAAAGGGCACCGAATAGATATTCGCCACACAAGTCACCTGATTTGTGTGTGGGCTGTGATACTGATAGGGTGCTCAAACCGAACCACGTGGTTTTCTTAATGGGCCACATTCGGAGCCTTCGACTTAAAAGTATGATCCACAAGGCAGGGGAGAATCGTGAGGAGATGCAATCCCATGGTAGCCGGTGACCAACGATTGATTCATACGCCATTTGTTCCTTCAGGATACTGGAGTCTATGTGCACCATTGGTTTGGAATCCGGTTAAAGAGTCGGACATTCGCTTTTCGTCCTCTGATTTTCGTAAACAACACCCGTGATGCGAGAAGACAGTGAGTAGAACTTCCCTGGCAGATGCTGTATACGCTTGGCCATGTGAGAGCATTTCAAGAGGGAGGGCGGGCCCACCCCACTCTTGGCCATACCAGGGCATTTGGAGGCAGGTTTGATGAATCAATCACATGATAATAACATGGAAATAATAATATCAATTATGAAACACAACAAAAAAAGTAATGGATACTACTTACCAGGTAGAAATGTTAAATTATGGATAATTTCTACAAGCTTTTCAATAATCTCATTCTTCAATTTCAATTTAGTAGTATTATGAGTAGTATTCATATTCATATTTAATAATTTAAATAATGTATCCAATAATGATTGATTAAAAAATTTCTTACATAAATAACCATTATAGATTGTTGATTTAGACCATATATAACATAATTGTATAATTAAATGATTTGATGATAATGTAGAACTATTTATTAAATCATTTAATAGAAATGAATTACAACAAATTTCTTTGACAATGATTGAACGATCTACTTCTGCTGCTGCGGATGATGATGGTGAGGATGATGATGACGAAACAAGTTGATGCAGATCATGATTAGTGATAGTTGACTTACCCCAAAATTCAATTTCACATAACCAATTTGATGAGAATAAATGGACAAGTAAATTGATAGCAGCTAAACGTACCGCTTTTAATTGAGATGTTAAAGGTAATCGATTATGATTAGTTGATTCTAATTTAATCTTTTTTACTTCATACACCATAGCTAATAAAGATAATGCTAAACGTAATAGAATATCAGCACGTTGAATATTATTGGAAAGTTCTATTGGATTGGAATTCTCAACAAGATCGTCTTCATTCTCATTTAAATGGACAATATTTAAACGATGACCCATATAATTTAATGTTTGATTGATAATTTGCGACAATCTGTTAAAAGATTGAACATACAAAGGAAGAGAGGAGGCATAGAAAAATATTAGAGGTAAATGAAGATAGAGAAACCACTGAACTGGTTAAGTCTGGATTATTTTTTCCTATATAACCACCCATGACTTGTAAGCTGTTTGTTTGCAATTTGTACAAACTTACTTATGCCTGTTACATATCGTGGAAAAGAATAGGTTCACCATTAGCATTCTCGATAAAACTTTGTTCTTGATAGCCTCCAAATGCCCTGATACTGCCGAGAGTAGGGAGAGTCAGCCTCCCCTCTTCAAATGCTCTCACATGGCCACGCGTATATAGACTCTGCCAGAGAAGTCCTACTCACTGCCTTCTCTTGGCAAGGGTGTTGTTTACGAAATTGAGAAGACAAAAAGCGAATGTTCGGCGCTTTAACCGGGCTGGTGGACATGGAGAGTCCACATAAACGAGTTGGAAAACCCTTATTCCAAACCAATGGTGCACATGAGCTCCAGTATCCTGAAGGAACAGGTGACGTATGAATCAATCGTTGGTCACTGGCTACAATAGGACTGCATCTCCATACGATGCTCCACTGCCTTGTGGATCAGACCTTCAGATCGAAGGCTCCGGGCGTGGCTTCCTAAGAAAACCACGTGGGCCGGTTTGGGCACTCGGGCAGTATCACAGTCCTTACACAAATCTAATGACATTTGTTTGGCGCATATGTAACTGGTATCCCCTTGTACTAATATCAATTTGTTAAATAAAAAAAATACATACAATTACAAACGCCGTGTGTTCTTTCGTCTTCCTATTTTTGGTTTCCTTTCACGATTTTAAATTAGCGCTTGCCTCGTGATGCAGTTTGGTGGTTTCTGTAATGTATGTCCTATACACTTCCATCATCTTCTAATTTCTTCTTCAGTTGGAAACTGATATGTCTTCTCCCACAGTCGGCTGTTGCTGATGGTATCCGGCCAATGGATGTTGAATATCTTGTGTAGACAACTATCTATAAATACTTGTACATTTTTAAAGATGTAGTTGCAGTAGTTCTCTAAATTTCAGCTCCATCCAGTAGAACTGTGTTGACTTTCCTATTGAAGATTTTGACTTTGATAGTGATCGGAAGTTGTTTTAGGTTCCGTATGTTCTTCAATTGTAGGAATGCAGCCTTTGCTTTGATAATCTTTGCCTTTACGTCTGCTTCCAATTTGTACAAAAGTGTTATGTAATGACATTTGTCGTTTCTAATGATCATAATTGAGCTTTTCATTGTACAATTAGTTGATAAATGTATCATTGTACTTGCATATTATCCTTATTGTAAACTTTCAATGGATGGATCTATAGACTGTCATTATACGTTTTATTATTCCTCAATTAACACTAATTAATTATGTCCAATTCGTTTGCTACACTCTCTGTTGAATATGGCATGATTGTGTTCGAGATATTGTATCTTGTTTTGTGTGATTTTTCGTCTAATAACTAATGTATATGAACTAATGAATACCTGAGATAGTTTTTAGCTGACTTCTCTTTGAACTCAGGGCAGTGCGTATCAAGAAAAACTCGTGGATTGCAGACTAATAGGAGTGTAGCTTACATTCAGTCAGTCAATCAGCTACAACGTAGGATCAGGCATATATATATATATATATATATATATATATATCAGCCCAAGTTGCCAGACCTCGTTAACACAACACCGAATTTATAGTAGTTAATTCAGTGGTAGTATCATATGAAAAAGATTGTGTATGAGGATATAATACAGAAAGATATGAAGCAATTTTGATCTCATAGTTTAAAGGAAGACAAAGAGTGTATACACCGACGCTATCGTGATCGATTCTGAGCCATGTCAACAAGTCTCCAAATATTGGTGACGATAATCATGCAGACCCCAACCAAGTAGTCTGCATCTCCCAACATGGCTCAGACTAGAAGTTAGTTAGCACTCAAGACCACTGTAGCTTATATTGGCTGAAGATGAACTGTGCAGTTTAGAATGTGTAATTATTCAAGTATAGGGCGTTACAATGCAGACGGAATAGTGTATTAGGAATGGAAGTTAGCATTTGATAATAATAAATATATAAAGTTATAAAACTTTTTGTTTTTTATTCCTTACGTAGGATGTTAGACAGGATTGTTCCTTTATAACTTGTCATGATCTTCACCACAATGCCATATGACTTTTGTGTATCAAAAATAATTCACTAGAGGAGACAGCTAAATCCAACTTAGTTAATAAACTTTAAGGAATTGAAACTTAATGATTATAAAAATGAAACTTCACTAATCAATCCATATGAAACGTACGCATGTAATCGAGACCAAGATAATGTATCTTTACCATCAATTGTATGTTGAACACGTTGTCGAGCCGATTGAATACAATCACTTAATGATATGGTAGTAGGACTAAAAGTACTAGTAGACAATTGAATACATTCTGTTTCTTTGACAAATGGATCTAATAAAAAGCTTAGAAATAAATTCAATTCAGAATTTGTATATTGTGCTAAATTAGTGAATACAGCTGATGTGAATTGACCTTTGGATAATTGTAATCGACCGTATAGTATACTGGAAAGAAATTAAGAGAGAATGCATAGACTGTTCTTCAATTTACTGTTTATGAATGAAATACATGAATTTAGAAAAAAAAATCGAATTACTGAAAAAATCTATACTTGAACAAATAAGTAACAGAATGGACGTCTCTCAGATTTCTTATGTTGTCGAGGGAAGGCCATAAAAATCGTAGTCGACGAAACTACCTTATGAACTACTATTGATTAGAATTTGTTCCTAGTGTAAAATTATCAAATAACAAGACTATTATGTTGTTGTATTCCGTTTATCATAAACTCCTATTTGAGTCAAAATACGACCGACGTTGGGGAGTGTCTTTTCTCCACTTGAAACTCTCGTACATGGCCTCGCGTATATAGCGATTGCTAGGGAAGTCCTGCTCATTGTGTTTCTCATGACTGAAGAGTTGCTTAAGAAATTAAGACGAAAGGAGAATTTTCGACGCTTTGTAGGTACGGATGGTTCACCTAGGGGAGTTAGGAAACTTTGATTTCAAATCAATGGTTCACATGGCCTGCTGAGGAAATAAATGGTGTTTGAACCTATAATTGGTCAATAGCTACCATAGGGCCCCATCTCCTACCGTCAAAGGCTCGGGCGATGTCCTTCCGAAAAAATCCCCAGTTTCAATTTGGTCACGAACAGCATTTCAGTCACTACACAAATTGAATGATAACTACTTAGTGTGGAATATATATACTGGTGCCCATTTGTACCAATTTTTATGTGTTTAAGTGGTAAAAGTAATAATAATAATCATCTTCCGTTTGACTTGTTAGCCTGGACTATACGCTTTATTACTCCGAAATTATCGCTAATCAATTAGTTACAATATGCCCAGTTTCACTTCCATATACCACCTGTTCATACGCAACTATGAATTTGTATTTTATAATGTGATGTAGTCAGGCATGTCCGCATATAAACCCATGAGTGTTTGAGATAGATACCGGGCTACATGGTGGCTGAAAATATGATAATAGAAGCTTTCAGTTATTTCGATAATGTTGGCATTTTTTAAAATTTCATTGACGGTGTTCTATTTCCTCTATAACAAAAACTTTGGTTACCATATATGGGGGTCATTTACGATCAATTGATTACAAAGGACTGATAATTTTGCTTCTCTGATCTTCAAGTAGTTTGTGTTGATGATGTCGTTCAGAAGAACGATGAAAGCTCCACAACAAAACTATACAACTCAGAGAGCTAAACTCTAACCGAATCATCTACCTGAGTTAACAATCTTCCCCATCAACTCAACTGTTATGAAAATATCCCCTATAAGAATGACAGTTATGATTTACTTTTCAATATCTAATCATCTGAATTTCATAGATAGAATATTTTGATTAAAATAGTCAGTATGAACAGTTGAATTATTCTACAATATAGTTTCCCAAAAGAACCAACCATCCAATTAATGATAACCATGAGTACATGGAGGGATAAAACATATGTAATTGGAAAAATTACCGTAACAAAACTCCACCAATGTATTCACGATGTTCCGAAGAGTACAAAGATGTATCCAGTCGAAATGTTCGCACTGCATCACGAAATGTTTGTGGATTAATAATCTTTTCTATTTGTTCTCTGAAGGATAAAACATTGTCAGAAAAAAGTTGAAATTACGATGTATACAATTTATGCATAAACTATCATGTGTAAGTTAGTGTTTATTTAAAGAAAGGTAGTTGGTTAGTTTAGCTCCGCCTTTCTCTAGGGTTACTGTGAGTCGCAAGCCCGGGTAAAGAAGAATGGTTGGACATGTGTTTGGCAAGCCAATCCCGTAGAAACCAAGCTTGCTAAAAAAACGCTAAGCAGAATAAACAAATTAAACCATTTAAACTATGTCCTGGGAGTTGAAGGATCCTCATTCAGAAGAATTATGAAGTCTAATGGTGAAAGCTGAGATTCTTCGGAATTCAAGAGGTCGACACCCATTTTATCAAGTAAGTTTGTTAGTGTACGTAGCTATCGATGGACAACTGTTTTACAGTTGACATAGCTGAATCAAACCAGTTACGGTTTTCCACTAGAAATCCAAGAGGTCCATCTTGAATATTATTTGTATATAAGGGGTTGTGTAATTTGTAGCATTTTCACAGTTAACATCAGTCAGTCAGTTACAACGTAGGATCAGGCACATATATGCATTAGTCCAAGTTGCCAGAACTCATTAATACAACAAGATCAACACCGAATTCATAAAAGTAGTCAATCCAATGGTAGTGCCATATAAAAAGACTGCGTATAAAGATATAGTACAGAAAGAAAGGATTAGATGGTAAGAAGATAGATATAAAGCAATTTTAATCCCACAGTTTAAAGGGAGACAAATAGTGTATACACAGACGCCATTGTGATCGGTTCTTAGCTGCATCACCCAGAATCTCCAACCATTGGTTACGATAGTCACGCGGAATCCAACCAAGTAGTCTGCATCTCCCAACATAGCTCAGACTAGAAGTTAGTGACTTCAAGGATTGACACAACGTTTTGGTTTGGCCGCCTCTAACTTTCTTCCAGCCATCCTCAACACAATTAACATCACAAAATAATATTAGCTGAATCATCGAACAGCTTAGTAATTTCAATGTCGAATCCATTTGCAATTTATAAATCTCAGTTCTTGTGGAATGAATCAGTTGTTTCTCTTTTGTATTGAGTCTACGATTTATTTGGCAAATAAGAATTTGTGCATATATCATTGGAAAAGAAGCAGCATATTAAACAGGGAATTGATTATCAAGATATAAAATTTTATTATCACTATAAGGTATCGGATATTATTGATTGAAATCATGAACCGATTGATGTTAGACCACTGGACGGTTGCTTCGTCTTATTGTGAAACTCCTCGACGGTGTGCATACACGATTCCGCACTCGAATACTTAACCTCTAGACCACTGAACCGGCATCTAACGGTATTAATGTATAACCTCAACCAATCCACGAAATTGCACAACCATCTTCTAATGTACTGAGGTAGATGCCTGTCTCTACTTGACACGGATTAGTTCTACTGGTCACTGGTTCTTTGACATTGAATCATGAAAAAAATGATGTAAAATAAAGTAATACTAACACAGGATAAACAACTAACTTACTGATAATTATTAATTGCCGATTGTTTATAAGCCAGTAAACATTTGAATGCTGCATTTTGTATAGTGGGTTGTTTAAATTTTAATAACTTTTAATAGTAAAAAAAGAAAGAAATTAGAAAAGAGAAATAATGTTGATGATAATAGACGGGGAACAATTGATGACGCAATCAAAATGAGAACTGTTATCAGATAAACAGTGGTACAAGAAGGCACTGAATACAAATGCATTTTACTGGGGGGGGGGTAAAATACTACCTGGATGCTCAAACTGAACCATGTGGTTTTCTTAGAAGGCCATACTGTGAACCATCCACCTAGAAATCTAATCCATAAGACAGTGGAACAACTTTAGGAGAATAGTTTCATGGGTGTTGGTGACCAATAATAGGTTCTTACGCCATTTGTTCACTCAGGATACTGCAGCCTATGTGAGAGGGTTTTTCAACTTTCCTAGGTCGATCCTCTATATGTACCGACCAGGTTAAAGCAACGGACATTTGCTTTTTGTCCTCGCAATTTCGTAAAAACACGCTCGTCTAGCGAAAAAATGATGAATTGGTTTAATGTTGCACAGATGAATGTATTTTTAGTATGGTGAAAAAATAATTAACTTTGAAAAACAGATTCAGTCAGTCAGTCAGCTACAACGTAGGACCAGGCACATATGTGCATCAGTCCAGGTTGCCATACCGCATCAACACAACAAGATGAACACCAGATTCATAACAGTGGTTAGGTAAAAGGTGGTAATATATAAGAGAAAGATTGCATATAGAGATAAAGTACAAGCAGAAAGAATTGGTTCGTAGAAAGAAAGATATGAAGCGATTTTAATCTCTTAGTTTAAGGGAAGACAGGGAGTGTATACACCGACGCCATTGTGAAAAACAGATTACTTGTCCCTGTCATTGCAATCAAGGTATAGCCTCGCGTATAAAAGCGTGTTCACACAAATCGCGCTGTGATATTAGATGTATGGTGAAGGAGTCGTAAATAATGTAGTAACAATAATAATAACAAACATGTGAATCATTGAAAATCTGGTTCTAAAGGACAATGAATCGATTTGCAGCAGTCAGAAACGTTACCACTGAACCACTCAAACCCTAACTGAACTCGAGTAGGATTGAGATGTACTTACAATTGACCGATTACTGAGTAGTGACCAATATCAAGTATATTGAATACTTCTTAGATCAGACTGTTACGAAGGGTGACACCTGATCGAATTAGAGAGAGGATATCAGTACCCTCAAGATTACAGTTTGAACTTGCTAATCCCAAATAGCATGAAATCTAGGATGGTGCAGAGATTCGTATCAACTACCTCCAACTACAACCTTACTTCTCAAAAGAGAGTACACGATGTGGAATCATTTAGACTAGTAGTGTTTACATTGCAATATCAATCTCGATCAAAAGTAAGAAAGACTTAACGAATATGACATTGGTCAATACTCAGTTATCAATCAATTGTAAACACGTAGCACTTTAGCAGATAATGATTTGGAACAAAGTATTTATCTGATCGTAACTTTTCGAAATGCGCATATTTACAACTGAAGAAAATTTGGGACACAAAACAAATATCTGTCAACCAATACCAAAGTCAGAATTTACAATACAAATGTCAAGACAGTCCTACTGTTTGTGACGGAAACTTGGAGAACCACTAAAGCCATCATCTAGAAAATAAGTGTTTATTAACAGATGTCTATGCAAAATACTTCGGATCTGTTGGCTGGACACTATCAGCAACAACCTATAATGGGAGAGAACAAACCAGATTTCAGCACAGGAACAAATAAGAAAGAAACGCTGGAAGTGGAAAGAACACAGTGATGAAAGCACCGAACTACGTCACCAACGCAAGCCCTCACATGGAATCTTCAAGGCCAAAGGAGAAGAGAAAGACCAAACAACACATTAAGCTGAGAAATGGAGACAGACATGAAAAGAATGAACAACAATTGTATAGAATTAAAAAGGATGACCCAGGATAGAGTGCGTTGGAGAATCTTGGTCAGTTGCCTATGCTTTGTTTGGAGTAACAGGCGTAACTGAGTATATTGTTTCAATATCTATGAACATTGACTAGTTGATTATTATTTGTAATATTTAATATTACGTAATATACTTACTTGGTAAATATTTTGTTTGAACTCCTTCTCCATATAAATTGATTTAATATTATTGAATTGAGAGTACAAATTCAAGATAGTCAATAGAAGTCTATAAGAAAAACAAATTGTAAATTAAGACGTTAGGGTTTTGTGCAATTATATTTTGTTAATTTGCAGTTAAAGAGATCAATGATAATTACTTTAATTGAGATCATTGAAGAAAAACACAACCTGGAAACATTTCAAATCAGGTTTTGTCCTAGTAGGTAACTCTTCAACAATGTGCAACAATGCAAGACATTCGATTTTCAGGCGTCAGCGATTGATCGTTGGATCAATGCCCAAACCGAAGTCGGTGATTTTCTTACAGAGCTAGCTACACATGGAGCCTTCGAACTAAAAGTCTAATCGACAAGGCAGTGGAGCAACATCAGGAGATGCAAACCCATGGTAGCCGGTGACCAACGATTGGTTCATGCAACGTTTGTTCCTTTAAGATACGGGAGCCCATTTGCACCATTAGTTTGAAATGAAGGTTTTCCAACTCCACTAGTTGGATCCTCTATATCCACCAACTCGGTTAAAGCGTCGGACATTTGTAGTTAACAATAACAAGACCGATACTCACTGTTCTGTTGACTTATTTAAACCAGATTGAATAGCAGAGCTAAAAAGAACAGAAAAGAAAAGAAAGAAGATATTTTAATATTGTTTCATTCAATGTTCATCTTATTGATGTAAGTTATCGTAAGCTAAAGACCTGAATACTTATTAACCTATGAAGTACTTCCATGAAGAATTGGATTTGACAAAATTAAAGTGAAAAACAAATTATTGACTTATTTTGAAGTTTGTGTTATTAAGTCGCTAATCAAGAAAACAATTTGCATTATGGACTCATCAGAGTATTGAGTTTTTCATCTAGATTGTCTAGTAGCAACGAATTTCTGATATAGAGAAAACAGACCGACTTGAATACTTAACAATTATTGAAAAATAGTCTCTAAGTCAAGCGCTAACTTTAAGAGGCGCTAAAGATTGTCAAGGTAAGAGTATATAATAGGGACTGGATGATTAGAGTGGAGAATGAGTCTTTTAAGCTTTTGTAAGAAATTCAAATATCATTTATGATGAGCAATAGAAAAACCTTGGTATACTGTTCAAAACGTTTAAAATGATAACGGCTAATTACTGATTATCACTACGGAGTTAAAACAATAAAGTAAGACGTGAACAAACTGAACACAAAGTGCATCTTGCATGGTTACGAAGCAATTCTGCACTACATCTGATGCTAGCTCGTTATGAAGAACTCTGAACCATTAGTTCTTACTTATTATCAAGAACACTGTACGAATACTTCAAAATCAATCTGAATCTTTATAAAGGTTTAGCAAAGTAGACAAACTACACAATCAAAACGAGAAGAAACAAATAATTATCTTCAATCTTACCTAATTATATTCAATAATAATGGTGTAAGAAAATGTGTATATTTTGCAGCGATTTTCCAACGTAAACACTGCCATAAACATAATCGATAAGATAACCAATCTGGACGTTTTCTTGATTCAATAACTAACCAATGATTATTAGGTGTTTTTCTTTGTACACTATATAAATCTGGACGAATTGATGTGAACCATATGATGGCAGTTTCATATGAACAAGTGTAGAGATTTGTTTCTTTAGAATCTGAAACATTTGATAAATCTGAAATGAATATAGACGACAAATTAAGTGTGTATGTGTGTGGGGGGAATACAATGATTTGTTGATTTATTTATTTAAACACATAAATATTCGAACGAGGAAGCACCAAGTAGATATGCGTCACATAAATCATTCGATTTGCATGAGTGCTATGATACTGTCTGGGTGTTCAAACCGAAGCAGGTGGTTTTCTTAGGGGGCCACACCCCTAACTTTTGACCTAAAGGTCTAATCCACAAGGCAGTTGAGCAACGTTAGAAAACTTAGTTTCTTGGTAGCCGGTCGCAAATAATTGATCCATACGCCATTTGTTTCCTCAGTATTCTGAAGTCCATCTATATCATCGGTTTGGAATAAGGGTTTTCCAACTCTCCTAGGTGGACTCCCTGTCACCAATTCGTTTAAGGCGCTGGACATTCGCTTTTCGTACTTTCAATTTCGTGAATAACACCCAAGTGGAGAGAAGGTAGTGAGTAAAACGTCTCTGTCAGTGGTTGTATGCACGTGGCCATGTGAGAGTATTTGGAGAGGGAGAGCTGACTCTCCTCATTCTCGGCCATACCAGGGCATTTAGAGGCTAATATAGATATTCAAAAGAATAGGACCACCTGTTACAAAACTGAGAAAGATGTTTAATTAGTAGTTATCCCTCACAATCTTCATAATTTATTCGCTTGAGATGAATATATAGATCGTTTTAGTAATTATTATCCCTAAGCTCAATGCCATGTACGGATCGGTGAAAATACATGACAGTCTATAATTGATTAATCGCTAAGTAGTGACTAATGTCGTGTGTATCAGGTCCCACTTATTGCTGACAAAATTCTGTCGATCGAATAGAAATGTAGCCACTAAAAGTCTAAGTGACTCGATGTTGAGCTGTTATTGGGTGGTGGTTGGAAATAGTCGACACGATAGAAATTGATCAGAACTAGGAAGGACTTCATATACTAGCTAGTAGTCATGTAACCATATTAGAAACTGATCGATAGGATTCTATATGCACTAAGAAACACTTGACGGTCGTTTCGTCCTAGTATAAAACTCTTCAGCAGTGTGCACACACGATTCCGCACGCGGGACTTGAACCCAGTAATTTCAATCTCTCACACGAATGCTTAACATCTAGATCTAACAGTGTTAATTTAATGGTCTGTGCGTTGTGATTGTGTTAGTCATCTATTTATTCTTTTATATTTTTACACTAATCGAATTCAGAAATAAATCGAGTAGTGTTGCAGTTGACTCGTCTTCTCGTTTTCTCCCTAGTCAACCAAGGCAGTTAGTTAGTCATAATTCAAACTCACACATTTCTAACACCCAAGGTTGGAACTAGTAAGCCTGTCATATCCATGCCTAAATCTAGATCAAGACAAATTCTCTCATTTATATTACTGAATAGACCGATTAAGGACGTAACAGATAATTTAACAGTTTACTCAGAACATTGAAAAGATAATAATGAATGAAAGAAAATCAATAGATAGATACTAACCATCATTGTTGTTATGAACAATTTTTGTCTCTGTATCCATTAATAATGGTTGAAATACACTCCAGAATAAATTTCTACATTCAATATTCCAATTTTTCTCTTTGATCTCTAATTCATGAGATGAATTTTCATGTTTAGTAGATTTTTTCTTTATTAATGAATTTGATTCACAATAACTTGCAATAGCCTCATTTATTGGAGACCAAATAGCAGTGAATTGAACATGAAGTAGACCAAATAAATAATGAATAGCAATCTGTATAAAGATAATTAACAACAAACATGTATATAAGTAATTATGTGTTATTACACAACAGCAACAACCTATAATAGGAGAGAAAAAAAAGCCAGATTTCAGCACAGGAAGAAATTAGAAAGAACCGATGGAAGTGGATAGGACAGACATTGGGGGAAGCACCGAACTACATCACCAACACAAGCTCTCATCACTTGGAATTCTCAAGGCCAAAGGGGAAAAGAGAGACCAAACAACAGATTACTTAGAGAAACGGAGACAGACATAAAAAGAATGAACAACAATTGTATAGAATTAGAAAGGATGACCCAGGACAGAGTGGGTTGGAGAATGCTGATCAGTGGCCTATGCTCCATTGGGAGTAACAGGCATAAGGAAAGTAAATTGAACACATATTGTTTGATCTATATTGTTGACTGAGTTTCACAAACCAAATGGCAATATATGACAATCAATTAGTTGAATGACTTGATATAACTCTTAGTTTGAATGTTAAGCGGTTGAAAATATTCTATAGAAAGTCATGAATTCAAGGTACATGCTTGACAGTACCGCTTTTTTATAATTTATATCTGTAATATTCAATGAACTGATGTTGTTTCTAAATGAGATATTATTCTGAGTTAGCCAATGTTGACCAGTCAGAGATGTTACAACTAGGTTGACTGTAGAATAAAGTATATTACCTTGATGGGTGACGAATATAAGCAAGAACGAATAGAAGATATATAAATTACTGTCAAATGGTTTACCTTATGAAGAGCTATAGATTAGCTGGTTACACATATGAGCCCTGACATATACAACAATTATTTACGTATCTATCACAAAACGGATCGGGTTGCTTAACTCATGCCCAACTCTCCTCCTTTACTCGGGAGTAATCCTAAAAGAGCTACAGGCAGAAGCAACTGGAAAGCAGGGTTCGGAAAAGAGTTCGATAAAGAATGCTGGTGAGTGGCCCGTGCTCCTCCACGATGAGTACTTCATACTGGAAACAATTTTTTTTAATAAATCAATAATAAACGTGAATATACATATAACTAACCTCAGCCGCTTGTCGACAATATTTCACATCACGATCAGCATGTAATTGAAGTATATGCATTAGAAAATCACGTACAGTTTGATGTCCAAGTTGTATTTTTTCAGCTTTTAAACATCTTTCAATAATATTTTGTACAGTAGAGTTATATTGTACATCATTTGAGCAATTATTATTATCAGTAGAATTGCTTAAACCACCATTGATTACGAATAGAATTCTTAGAACATGTAATCTTATCTGGGTAAATAAGATCAGTAATTAAAAATATGTAATAAGGATGAAGAAAATTTTCTTAAAAATAACAAGTAATTACTTTGTGTAAAAAGTCCTTAAATGCCCTGGTACGGCGGAGGGTAGAGAGAGTTAACTCTCCCTCTCGAAGTGCCTCGCATATACAGCCACTGATAATGAAGTCATACTCACTGCCCTCTCGTAGTGGGAATATTGTTTATGAAATTAAGAGTACAAAAAGCAAATGTCTGGCACTTTAAACAAATGGGAGGATTCACCTAGTGGAGCTGAAAAACCTTGATTCCAAACCAATAGTGCACATAGGATCCAAGATCCTGAAGTTAAAAAATGGATTATGGACCAATCGTTAGTCATCTGCTAGCATGAAATTGCATGTCGCGATATCGCTAAACTGCCTTGTGGATTAGACCTTTAGGTTGAAGGCTCCGTGTGTGGTCCCCACTTAAGAAAACCACCTGTTTCGGATTGGGCACCCATACAAGAATCCCAGCTCTCACACAAATCGAATGATTTATGTGGCACATATCTATTGAGTGCCTCATTGTACCAATATTTATATGTTTAAATAACTAAATAAATAAAATTAAACAAAAGAAAGCCCCCATATGATGTAACAATTTACCTGATGACTTGAAGACATTAACAATGGTAATAAATTTCCATATAGAATATCTTGATGATTGAATAGATATTGTTTATAATCATTATTAGTAATCAATAAATGAACGAGGATATCAATAATACGTAAGATGATACAACAATATTCTGGATATAAATTATGATAAGATCTGAAAACAATAAAAAAATATAATTAAAATACAAAAAATTATCAAGAAATATAAAGGAAAATAACAATTCTAAATATTGAGAGCTTCATTAAACCAACAGTTCAGTCAGTCAGTAACAACGTAGAACTTCGTACGTAAGTACGTACATCAGTTCGAGTTGCCATACCACATTAGCACAGAGATGCAGTTGTAGATTCAAATTCCGTAGTGATAGAGGTAGTAAGAGTATAAGCAGTAATCGAAAAGATTAGGGTTTGAAGATGTTATTCAAGGATTATAATCCAGTGAACTAAATTTGGAAAGAGAAAAAAGAAAGGGACATCAAAAATTCAGAAGATTAGAATTTGGGAGAGCACAAAGAGTGGATGCACTTGTGCCATTGCAAACAATTTTGAGCCATGTCATTTAGGGTCTCTAGCCATCGGTTGCTATCATTTCGCGGTCCTCAACCAGGTAGTCTACACCTATCAACATGTCTCAGTGCACTTGTTAGTGACTTCATGGACTTGTGCCATGTTTCGGTCTGACCGAACCTAGCTTTCTTCCAACCTACTCCTATACCATTAAATCAACGTAAACTATCAAATTATTAGCCAACGCAACAACAATCATAAGAAGCAACAAATAACAAAAGAATTAGTGACAGTAAGACAATTTTAACAAATAAGGATTGTAATGTATAACTATGATGTTTAAAACGTTTAAACGACAGATTATGTTTGAATGAATAAAGGTTGCACATTTCAATAGAGTAATAAAACATAATTATATCTAATACAATATCTAAATCATATTGTGGTATCCGTCAGTCAGTAACAACATAGAACTTCGTACGTGCGTACACCAGTTCAAGTTGTAATAACACATTGTAGATTGAAATCGTGTAGTGGTAGAGATAGTAACAGAATAAGTAGTAATTGAAAAGATTAAGGTTTAAAAATGTTATTCACAATACACCATATTGTGATGTATACCACATATGTCTATATAAGTGGTAAACAACACCTGTCAGAAGGTTAATACTTGACAGCCGAAGGATTGAAATACAGAAGACGTGAGAACAACAACACAGAGTGATGGTTGTGGCAATGAAAGAGAAACAAACCTCGGAACAACAAATAGATATTTAGAAAAAAAAATGGATTAAAAGAATTGTTGAGACAAAACAATGAACAATTCAGCAATTTTGAAATAAAAACATATAGGTTATACAAGACTATGCACACCTATACTACAATAATTCATATCGAAATAAAAAACACGAACTAATACTAAAACGAGAAATATATTAAACATTATGTGAAGGACAAACAGAGAAAATCATATACATAATAATGCAATTAATGACAACAGAAATACCTAACAAAAACATCAGATGTCAATTAAAAAAAAAGTGGAAACTTCGAATCAACAAAAAACAAAAAAAGTAAACACAACTATTAACAATCAGCACACCAAAAAAAAATAACACCTTAACAAACAACAACAATAATGTCACGAATGCAAAAACCACGATTCATACTTAACATGAATACAAACACTCTCACAACATGTCAACCCTCAATGATGGACTGCCACAGTCATAGGCAGTAAGAGGCAAGGGTAACACTCAATATTGCAGCATCCGAATTCCGATAGACAATAACATCTACCCGAGAGTGCAGCTGCGTTAAGTGCATGCACACAATTCAACACAATCACATATCCATCACAATCCATACACAAACAATCAATATCGCTGAGCTCCAACCCGAAAACAGAGATTACACTCTGTCGGTGTGATGCACAGCTCTACATTTATGCCCAGTACACAACGTATTATGGGCAACAACTGACCATATTCATTCAACCACAATCACAAACGATCCACAAACAAAATACAAAAAAAACCTATTTAACATAAACACACAAACTACCAACAACACTATCGTCACGAATGCAAAAACCACGATTCATACTTAACATGAATACAAACACTCTCACAACATGTCAACCCTCAATGATGGACTGCCACAGTCATAGGCAGTAAGAGGCAAGGGTAACACTCAATATTGCAGCATCCGAATTCCGATAGACAATAAAATCTACCCGAGAGTGCAGCTGCGTTAAGTGCATGCACACAATTCAACACAATCACATATCCATCACAATCCATACACAAACAATCAATATCGCTGAGCTCCAACCCGAAAACAGAGATTACACTCTGTCGGTGTGATGCACAGCTCTACATTTATGCCCAGTACACAACGTATTATGGGCAACAACTGACCATATTCATTCAACCACAATCACAAACGATCCACAAACAAAATACAAAAAAAACCTATTTAACATAAACACACAAACTACCAACAACACTATCGTCACGAATGCAAAAACCACGATTCATACTTAACATGAATACAAACACTCTCACAACATGTCAACCCTCAATGATGGACTGCCACAGTCATAGGCAGTAAGAGGCAAGGGTAACACTCAATATTGCAGCATCCGAATTCCGATAGACAATAACATCTACCCGAGAGTGCAGCTGCGTTAAGTGCATGCACACAATTCAACACAATCACATATCCATCACAATCCATACACAAACAATCAATATCGCTGAGCTCCAACCCGAAAACAGAGATTACACTCTGTCGGTGTGATGCACAGCTCTACATTTATGCCCAGTACACAACGTATTATGGGCAACAACTGACCATATTCATTCAACCACAATCACAAACGATCCACAAACAAAATACAAAAAAAACCTATTTAACATAAACACACAAACTACCAACAACACTATCGTCACGAATGCAAAAACCACGATTCATACTTAACATGAATACAAACACTCTCACAACATGTCAACCCTCAATGATGGACTGCCACAGTCATAGGCAGTAAGAGGCAAGGGTAACACTCAATATTGCAGCATCCGAATTCCGATAGACAATAACATCTACCCGAGAGTGCAGCTGCGTTAAGTGCATGCACACAATTCAACACAATCACATATCCATCACAATCCATACACAAACAATCAATATCGCTGAGCTCCAACCCGAAAACAGAGATTACACTCTGTCGGTGTGATGCACAGCTCTACATTTATGCCCAGTACACAACGTATTATGGGCAACAACTGACCATATTCATTCAACCACAATCACAAACGATCCACAAACAAAATACAAAAAAAACCTATTTAACATAAACACACAAACTACCAACAACACTATCGTCACGAATGCAAAAACCACGATTCATACTTAACATGAATACAAACACTCTCACAACATGTCAACCCTCAATGATGGACTGCCACAGTCATAGGCAGTAAGAGGCAAGGGTAACACTCAATATTGCAGCATCCGAATTCCGATAGACAATAACATCTACCCGAGAGTGCAGCTGCGTTAAGTGCATGCACACAATTCAACACAATCACATATCCATCACAATCCATACACAAACAATCAATATCGCTGAGCTCCAACCCGAAAACAGAGATTACACTCTGTCGGTGTGATGCACAGCTCTACATTTATGCCCAGTACACAACGTATTATGGGCAACAACTGACCATATTCATTCAACCACAATCACAAACGATCCACAAACAAAATACAAAAAAAACCTATTTAACATAAACACACAAACTACCAACAACACTATCGTCACGAATGCAAAAACCACGATTCATACTTAACATGAATACAAACACTCTCACAACATGTCAACCCTCAATGATGGACTGCCACAGTCATAGGCAGTAAGAGGCAAGGGTAACACTCAATATTGCAGCATCCGAATTCCGATAGACAATAACATCTACCCGAGAGTGCAGCTGCGTTAAGTGCATGCACACAATTCAACACAATCACATATCCATCACAATCCATACACAAACAATCAATATCGCTGAGCTCCAACCCGAAAACAGAGATTACACTCTGTCGGTGTGATGCACAGCTCTACATTTATGCCCAGTACACAACGTATTATGGGCAACAACTGACCATATTCATTCAACCACAATCACAAACGATCCACAAACAAAATACAAAAAAAACCTATTTAACATAAACACACAAACTACCAACAACACTATCGTCACGAATGCAAAAACCACGATTCATACTTAACATGAATACAAACACTCTCACAACATGTCAACCCTCAATGATGGACTGCCACAGTCATAGGCAGTAAGAGGCAAGGGTAACACTCAATATTGCAGCATCCGAATTCCGATAGACAATAACATCTACCCGAGAGTGCAGCTGCGTTAAGTGCATGCACACAATTCAACACAATCACATATCCATCACAATCCATACACAAACAATCAATATCGCTGAGCTCCAACCCGAAAACAGAGATTACACTCTGTCGGTGTGATGCACAGCTCTACATTTATGCCCAGTACACAACGTATTATGGGCAACAACTGACCATATTCATTCAACCACAATCACAAACGATCCACAAACAAAATACAAAAAAAACCTATTTAACATAAACACACAAACTACCAACAACACTATCGTCACGAATGCAAAAACCACGATTCATACTTAACATGAATACAAACACTCTCACAACATGTCAACCCTCAATGATGGACTGCCACAGTCATAGGCAGTAAGAGGCAAGGGTAACACTCAATATTGCAGCATCCGAATTCCGATAGACAATAACATCTACCCGAGAGTGCAGCTGCGTTAAGTGCATGCACACAATTCAACACAATCACATATCCATCACAATCCATACACAAACAATCAATATCGCTGAGCTCCAACCCGAAAACAGAGATTACACTCTGTCGGTGTGATGCACAGCTCTACATTTATGCCCAGTACACAACGTATTATGGGCAACAACTGACCATATTCATTCAACCACAATCACAAACGATCCACAAACAAAATACAAAAAAAACCTATTTAACATAAACACACAAACTACCAACAACACTATCGTCACGAATGCAAAAACCA